GGTGTTTCACTTTGGGGCAGAAACTTTGAGAACCAGTCCATGGGTTGCCATGTGCACTTCCCATGCCTTATGACAGATTCAGTCAAGACAGTCTTTACCAGCACACACAGTTCTTAAGAGACTGTGATGAGCCAGAGGTATTCTGATATCTTGCATTGGACATATAGGGTAAATAATTTAAAAAAAACCTTTTTTCTTATAAGCTACTAAGACTTTGGGGTTGTTTGTTACCACAGCATAACCTAAGCGTACCCTGACTGGCAATTTGTCTGTGTAAATCTTACGTGTTCCAATGACTCAAATTTGTTGATGCTAAATATCAGGTAACTCCTTGAGGTGCCACTTGTGGTTTCAAGTTTGAAAATTCCCTGGTAATTTTTCCTCATTTATGTCACTTATCAGGCCTCTATAGGAATTTTACTTGTTTTTAATAAACTTCATTTTTTAGAGCAGTTTTAGATACACAGCAATATTGAAAAGGAATACAGATTTCCCACTTACTCACTGTTCCAATATCTGAGTAACTTTTCCCATTATATCCCCCATCAGAGTAGCATCTGTTAATACTGATGAACATACACTGAGATATCATTATCATTCCAAGTCCATAGTTTACATTAGGGTTCAATCTTGGAGCTGTACATTCTATGGATTTGGGAAAATTTGAAATGGCATACATTCACTATTATAGTATCGTACCGAGTAGTTTCACTGCCCCAAAAATCATATGTCCTGTCTGTTTCATCCCTCCTCTCCTCCTAGCCCTACCCATCATCATCCTGGCAACCACTCATCGTTTTACTGTTTCCATAGTTTTGCTTTGTCCAGAATGTCATATAGTTGGAATTTACAGTATGTAGCCTTTTCAGACTGACTTATTTCACTTAGTAATATGCATCTAAGTTTCATCCATGTCTTTTCATGCTTTTTATTAATTATATTTAGCATTGAGCAATACTACATTGTCTGTATATATCAGTTTACTTATTCATTCACCTACTGAAGGACATTTTGGTTGCTTCTGAGTTTGGGTAATTATGAACAAAGCTGCTATGAGCTTCTGTGCAGGCTTTTGCATGGACATATTTTCAACTTCTTTGGGTAAATACCAAGGAACATGACCTAAGAATCATATGGTAAGTAACGTTTAGTTGTGGAAGGAACTGCCCAAGTGTCTTCCAAAGTGGCTGCACAATCTTGTGTTATCAGCAATGGATGAGAATTCCTGTCATTCCACATCCTCATCAGCATTTCGTGTTGTCTGTATTCTGGATTTTGGCCATTCTAAGAGTGTGTGGTGGTATAACATTGTTGTTTTGATTTGCATTTCCCTGATGACATGTAATGTGGGACATTTTTTTGTATGCTTATCTGCCATCTGTCTCTTTTCTTCAGCAAGGTGTTTGCTTAGGTCTTTCATCCATTTTTTGATTAGGTTGAGTTTTAAGAGTTCTTTGTAGATTTTGTACAATATTCCTGAATCAAATGTCTTTTTCAGATATTTTTTTCCCAGTCTGTGGCTAGTCTTCTCATTTTCTTGACATTGTCTTTCTTTCACAGAGCAGAAGTTTTTACTTTAATGAAGTCTATCTTATCAACTATTTCATTCATGGATCATGCTTTTGATGTCTTATCTAAAAATTCATCACCAAACCCAAGGTCATATAGGTTTTCTCCTATGTTATCTTCTAAAATTAGGTTTTCTATTTTGCATTTTACATTTAGGTCTATGATCCATTTTGAGGTAATTTTTGTGAAGGGTTTAAGGTCTGTGTATAGATTCATTTTTTTTTTTTTTTTGCATGTGGATGTCCAGCTATTCCAGTACCATTTGTTGCAAAGGCTGTCTTTGCTTCATTTTTAAGAACAGTTGGCCATATTCGTGTGGGTCTGTTTTGAGGTTCCCTTTTCTGCTTCATTCATCTAGTTTTTTATTCTTTTATAAACACCACACTGTCTTGATTACTGTAGTTTAATTATAGATCTTGAAATCAGGCAGTGTCAGTCCTTCAAATTTGCTCTGCTCCTTCAGTATGGTGTTTGCTGTGGGTCTTCTCTCTTTCCATAACTTTAGGATTAGTTTGTCTATGTCCACAAAAGAACTTTCTGGATTTTAATTGGGATTGCACTGACTCTATAGACAAGCTGGGGAGAATTGACACCTTGATAATACTGAGTCTACTTACCCATGAACTTTAAATGTCTATTTATTTAATTATTTGATTTCTTTCATTAGTTTTGTAGTTTTCCTCATAGATCTTATATATACTTTGTTATTTTATACCTACATATTTCATCTTGGGGGTTGCTAATATAAATAGTGATGTGTTTTGAATTTAAAATTACACTTGTTCATTGGTGATATACAGGATATTTGTATATTAATCTTGTATTTTGGAACCTTGCTATAATTGCAGTAGTTGTTGATTCTTTCAGATTTTCTATAGATGATCATGTCATCTGTGAAGAGACAGCTTTATATTCTTTCCTATCTGTATTACTTTTATTGCCTTCTCTTGTCTTATTGCATTAGTTAGGACTTCCATACAAGGTTCAAAAGAACTGATTAGAGGGGACATCTTGTCTTGCTCTGATCCCATAGAAATTTTGAGTTAGATGTAACAATGTTTTCTTTACTATGGATAACTGTGTTTTATTGGGAGCATATGGAAGACTGAAAATATTACAGAATTTAGATAAATGAATCTGGAGTGTCTTCTTCAATGTCTCTTAAACCAGTAAAAAGGAAAATAATTCCACATCTTTTACTGTTTAATCTTTTGATCATAGTGCTTAGGAGGTTCTGGAAAAATGGCAGAAGACTTGGTTTATTTAAGAATCAAGAGAGAGGGAGAGAAATGGAGGCTTGGAAACTACCAGTGTAAAGGATATTCCTTCCTATTAGTACTCAAGTATAGTATTATGGAAGAGGAGAGGAGACCTAAAGGACAAGCTCACCACTGCCATAATTACTCTGCACTCTTGAAATTTCCATGCAAAGACAGTGGTATTAGAGAACATACCTGACCTTTCTCTTTCCCCTTATTTGCTTGCCTCAGGAAGCAGGGATGAATTATTGGACTGGCGAGTTTAAAAGAAAAAACTGGCTATGAGTAGTTTGTGGCCTCTGTGGAGAAGCAGCCTGCCCACAGGGAGCATACATTTTTAACCTCACTGTGGAGTGATATATATAGTGGCAGGCCTCCATAAGAAGGGACTGTGGTTTTTCAGCTCTGCCTGAGATAGGGAGAGTAACTCTCAAACTGCACCCTTCTACAGACCTACTGTTACCAGAGCATGTAGCCACATCCTCACAATAGCTTTATCCAGACAAAAACGATGATGCATTTCTCACTCCTGTGCCTATCTCTCAATTGATTTCATTCACAGGTAAAGAACAGTGATAGCATAAAGTGATCTCTCAAAATGCCAAAAACATGAGAACATTTTGTCTTAGAAATTTATAAAGCTATCAGTGAAGAAAACAGCAAAATTTCTCCTGATTTTCAAATCCAGGCAGGTCCTATGGCCATTTCTCAAACAAGTGGCATAAATTACATGTGCACAGAAATACACAATGGAAATAGAATAGAGAAAAATACAGACACTGAAAACAGAGAAAAGTAGAAATATTATAACTAGTGAAAAATAAAAATAAACTCAAAGAAATAGAAAATACAGTAGCAATCCCCAGGATAACTTGTATAGCTGACTGTGATTCTGCCAGACCCCTGAATAAAACATTCATGGCATGTCTTCTCTCAGGCCAACAGGCAGGCTAGGTACTGTATCCAACTGCCCATTAGACATATTTCCCTTCCTCCAATTGAGATAATGGTTCGATTCTATCTCTGCTCATCTGATATTCTTTGTCCCACCAATAGTTACATTTCTTCAATGCAAGAAAATCTACCAAATACTGAATATTGAAAATTCTTCAAACATCTAAAAATAGACAAACTTAAAAAAGAAACTCAGTAAGAATAGTAGCTACTAAAAGAAAGATATAAGTATACCAATATCTGAAATAAAATAAATATGTTTATAACAGACATTTTAAATGTTTTTGTTTTTGTAACATGTTAACTTAGTTCTTCATAGTTAGAAGATTGCTGTGAGATCATTCCAGATTATTGAATTGGAATCTGTTAGCATTTGCTTAAAAATATTGATAATATTAGACAAATTTGAAACAGGATTTAAAAATGTTTTTATTAATTAAAGTGTCACTGCTATGAAAGACAGTATAATGAAATGTTTTAAATTATCTTAAATTTTTGGTGTAGTTGCAAGGACACTGTACAAAAAAAGGGGAATCTGTAATTATTATTCTGATTCTATTAATTTAAAGTGGAACTCTGGATATACTAACTAGGTCTTTTTGGTTTTCTGATCTGATCTATATATTAGAATGCAGAGCAGATAGTCCTTAATGTTCCTACTAACTCTGAAATCCTTTGGCTCTATTCATTAAAATGTATTGATTTGTACTGGCATAATTTTGGCTAAGAAAATGAGTTCATTTTAGTAAAGAAACCTATGAACTAGTGCTGTGCCCTTTTTAGGCTTGTTCTAATTCATTTTTTTGGCAGGGAGGGTGAAAAAGGTTGCCAGCAGCAATATATTTACAAAACTAGATAAACATTTTGTGATTTCATTATTCTCTCTGGCATCCTTCATCTGCCTATCCTTGAAAAAGTAAGAGTTTCTATAATTGTTTATTTTCCAAATCCATTTTGCTTATTTTAACAACAACAAAAAAAACAAATAAATCAATGACTGTTAGCTAAGATAATTAAGCAAACGTCCTGTTGAAACTTCGAAGAAAAACATGATTTCAGCAATTTTCCCAAGATAAATTTTTCTGCCTTGGGTTTTAAAACAGTTGCTACCATATTAATTAAATGGTGTTTTACCTAATGAAACAGTGATGCGAAACAAGCATTTTCAGAGGATCATGAATTCCATGTGACTGAAACATTACATATGGTCTCTGAAATAAAAAACAGAAGTATCTTTTTAGTTATTGCCAACAATAAACAATTCACAAGAAGAAAATAATTTTAATTATGTTGATGTTTGAACATTCTCTCCTATGTTCCTGACACTAAAATCTGTGTGCCTTTTAACAATTATGTCATTTCCATTTCTGGCAATATTGCAAAGTACATAATGTGAAAACCTAAAAGTGCTAAAACATAGTTACATGCAAAAAGTTGTAACAATTAAAATAGTTAAAGATATACATAGTTAAAACCTATTTACATGCAAAGCTGATCTCCTAGGAAAGTTAGTGAAATCTCTGGGGCAAAAAGTAAGGAGAAATCAGAAAACATTGAGTGTTACACAGAAGCTGACACTATGGCTTCTGAGAGTTGCCAATCTTCCTTAGTAAGGAGATTTAATTTCATAAATTATAGTAAAGCACTGGTAAGACCTTGGGCCTGGCCAACAAATGTATTATAATAGAGATCCCCAATAAAGTGGGGACCCACAAAGGGACACAACCTAGTACAAATGGTAGAAACTACAAAAATATCATCCATTGGCAAAAAAAGATAAAGTGAAAGCTTGACTGTTTTGGCCTGTGTTAGAGTTAGGGAAAAAATAGTTCATTAAGAATTCATTATCAAAATTTGCATTCACCATTTAGGGGTTCACATTTAAAACAAATACATGACTTGGGAAACATCAAACTGAAAGAACAATATAAAAAGTGGTCTTTAGTTGGTTATACCACTGGAACACGAGCAGAAGCCAAAAAAGCTAGCCTCAAGGAGAACACATCCCCAGTCAAAACCTCCCTGGAGCTTCGTGGACTTCCCAGCTGTGTTCCTACATTTGAGAACACATGAGGTATCACTTTCCCATTTTACTCTATTTCTGTTCCTCTGTGTTAACAAACAAAGAAATCAAATGTCATAGAAAGATGAAAGAGGCACATGGCATAGTGGGTTAGGGTATAGCCACCTTCAAATAATGGCTTTATATACATACAGCCAGCTGGGTGACTTTGTACAAGAGACCTAACCTCAATTTTCTCATCTCTAAGATGGGAATGATCCTAGTAATCTAACAGGTTTGTTATAAGAGTTAAATGAGTTAATATATAGAAAGTAGTTATAACCAGAATCATGCCTAGAATATAGGAAGCACTACCAAGGGATAGCTGGTCTTACCATCATTAGCATCACCATTATCATCACTGTTATTACAGGCAACTGGTCAGATCATTCCACCCATTTCATGATTAGGATGTTTTTTTCTCCAAATTCCCCCAGATGCATATCCATCCGGCCTAGAATTAAATCCTGAGATAAACCTAGTAATTATATATAACAAAATTATATGATTTCACATGACTGGTTCCTTTGTTGAGAAGCAGCAGAACTAAAAACTGTAGGAAAACTTAACTGGCAACCAATAGTTATCTAATTACAGGATGTGCATTTAGAACTTATTTATTTTGTGTTTCTGTTTTTAAAAACTATACTTATAAATATACACACATGGTTGATGAAATTGAATACAGCTTTCGCCTCAAGAGTGGGTGCATCATGGACCCAGCCCCTCGCCCTCCCCCTGCCACACACACACTGGACACTGACCACCAGCCTACTCCGGGAACTGGGAAAACAGGGTTAGGACAGTGGACTACCTCACCAGGTTTCTGAGGGAACTTCTCAGCTCTACAAGCACTTGTATCAGCTAAAGCCCACCTGTTCTGAATCCCCTCCTCCAGGAGATTTCTCACTTTCCATACAATGCCTTTCATTACAAATGCATCAGTGGGAAAAAATTCCTCAATACCCCATCTCCTTATGATCTACTCCTGATGAATTTCAGCTTTGTCTCTGAAAAATGGGGTTGATAATTATCTTATGGCCTGGTTGGCGGAATCATAAAGTACACATATGCCAACTGATTAAGTTGTATTGATTTATATCAACAATTCTTGTTTAGCCTCATACTAAATCATACATTTTTTTGCTTTAAACACTTACTAAGGGATAGAGTACAATTCTGTACATCTTTAAGTTTCTGTAAATACCTAATATAGTATCTTACAAATGCTTCACCATATGACTGTATTTGTTTTATAAATGATATGCTAAACCTCAATTCATTACATGGAAAAGTAGACTGAAACAAGGTAATTTTGAGATTGGTTAGTCATGAAGAGGAAATTCTAAAAATATTATTTTTGCAATTGTTTACCATGAAAATGGAATCTGAACCACAGCCCTAGGTTGAACATGGCCCATGTACTCTCACCATATTTCATTTCTTCTCATTCTGGATGCTGCAAACTGCCCTGCACAGGTTCCAGTGTCCTGCAACAAAGCCCATGGTGATGGCAGCAACAGAGGTGAAGATGCAATATACATATGTGTACACATGCACACTACCTTATGCACTCTTAGTTCATTCAAGGACAAGAAGAATTATTATTGGGAGAAATCATCCTTCATGGGTCTCCTGCACCTGCAAACTTCCTACTGCATGTTCCAAGAATGCAAGGCCCTGACTGTTCCTTGCCTTGGCCATTTCTCAGGGTTGTCTTTGCAGGGAGCAGCCTTGAGGGATAAGGTCATCTTTTTCTTCAGGATACAGAGGAAGCTTGATTATCACAGGCTATGAGAGGGTCAGTTCTCTTTCTCATTCTGTGGCAGGTATGGTTATAAAAGTGGATTTTTGTGGTGAAGGAACTGTTGGGTGTCTGCATTATGGTGGTGGATATAGGAAGCTACCCAGGTAACAAAACTTCATAGAACTAAATATACACACAGGACAAGTAAAGCTGGAGAAAGTGGGAAAAAAATCTCTAGCATGGGATAAACTACTATAAATTGAGTAAGTTTGTAATTTCAATTAGTTTTATTAGGTCATGGCTTACTCTAATCTTGGAAGGCTGCTCTTACAGGATTTGAGAAGAAAAAACAAGTCATGCAAATAAAGAAAAACTCGTAGTATATTCAAAAGGATCAAGGATTAGAGGTGAAGATTTATCTCAAATATAAGGTTGTTATTACAAAAATGATAATGATAGAGGAGTAAGGTATCTGGAAACAACAAGTAACATTTTTGAGCACTTACTTTGTGCTGGGTGCTGTTCTGAGTAATTAACATTCATTTACTATTTAATCCTCAAAAAATCCTATGTGAGAGATACTATTACTATTTCCATTATATAGGAAATCAAAACACAGAGCTGTAAAAAAATAGAGTCACATTTAGCAAATGCTGTTACTTAAAAAATTATTTCTTTTAAATATGACAGTAATCTTATGGGGTATTATTACACATAATCTATACACAAGAACCCTGAGGCCCAAAGAGGTTAAGTAAATTGTATAAATTTAAGTAGGTGGCATATCTAGGATACAAAACTATGGTTGGCCTCTCTCTAAACTGCCTTGCTTTTCCCAGTAGCAATCAACCTTCCTAGAGATGCACAAGTTAGAGAATAACTGGACTCTGACTCAGAACATCTGCCTTCTATTTCCAACCCTGTCCCCCTGCCAAGTGAGCCCTTCTTTATCTGTAGCAAGGGATGGGTTATGATAGGTAGAGTAAAGGTATCTAGTCTCTTCTAAGAACTCTAAAAGCATATGTTTATGCATTACGTTCTCTGGGGATTTGGTAGGTACATTGAGATAAATGTGTTTGACTACTGTTCTAGCTGAGAGGTACATTCCTAATTTAGTAGACACAAGTAGGATCACTGACTAAATGACCCTAATTTGTACTTAGCCACTCAACTAACCCTGGGAACATGAACCCACAAGAAAAAGCCCTTTGTGAGACGGTCTGCCTTCCTCCCTCCCCACTACCTCCCTTCATTCTGACTGGCAGAGCATGTGAAAACCCCCTCCTGTGCAGTTTTGGAAGAGCACAACCATGCTGTGAAGAGTTGGATCTGGGAGGAACAATGGATTGGACCCTGTTCTCTGACCTCTTGTCTGGTGGAGAGACAACAGAAGCCACAGCAGGTGCATCTGAAAGGTCTCTGCAGGGTCATTTCTCGACCCACACAGTCAGTGACCTGGAGGATGAAGGGCCTTAGCATCTGATCAGCATTCCTTGTATAGTTTTCTGTGTCTTCAGTTATGATATAAACCATCTGGTCCAGGTTGTTTTTAATATTATATCTATTATAACTTTCAAACATATCATTACTAAAAATGAAAACAAGAAAGTCACTTTAAATAAGAAGCAGTTAAAATGGGCCTCACAAAGTATTCATATAGCATTTCTTAGGATGTAAAGTGGAACACCTTTTAAAATTTTCAGTAGTAACATACACAATTGATTGGAAAATCAAAATATTTGACAACCTTTGTAAGTATTTAAATGTTTATTCTAAGCTTAGAGTAAGATGATGTAAAGTATTCTTTCACAAAACAGGAAAGACTTAAACCATCTTATAGAATACTGATCTTATATCATGTACAAGACAGATGCATGACATGATTTGTAACAGATCCTACAGGAGTTTTTGAGGGACTATATAATACCTGTATTCAGAAAAGTAGTTATAAAAATATTTTAATGAAATTATATATTGCATCAAAAATTAGTCACCTTATGAAATATAGCAAGATGATCAAGGTCATTACAAATTGAAAATAGAAAAAGGAACCAAGAAGAGTTGAAGGCCTCATGTTGGTGTCAAGTGAATATGTAGAGTAGTTGTTTTAAGGGTCAGAACAATTTAATGAAGAGAGGATAGACTTCATGTTTATTATGCTCCTTTCTTCCTACTTTATTATGTCAGAAGCTTATAGAATGAATCTTATTCCTGTCCCACTCCATCTTTTTTGGAAAATGACTGCATCAAATTCAAAATAAAACAACATAAACACTTAATGGTTTAAAAAGCAGTGTGCCAAAAACAAACATATTAAAGGAGAGGTTTAAAGATGGTGGTGTGAGAGGTGAGACAGAGACCTCCTCATAAAGTCACATGTAATATGAAAATAGAATTAATACAACTAATCCTGAAAGAGCAACAAGAAAAATGGCTGTCCCAGACTGCACACACCTAGAAAAAAGAACAGACCTTATAGAACAGGGTAACGTAATAAAGCCGTGATGCAGCAGGACCCAAGACCTTCCCCCACCCCAGCTCACAGTGGGAGGAAGAGAAACAGAGCAGAGAGGGAGTGGAGGCCTAGGACTGCTGATCACCCAGCCCTACAGATCTGCGCTGGGGGCATGAACCTACACTGAATGGTGCTATGGAGATTAGATGGGTTGGAAAGCTAAGAATGGCAGAATACTTGGGGAGACTGAGATTCCAACTGCTTGTGGAAAACAGGCATCCATATCCAGCTGATCTGGGAAAACAGACTGAGAGACCTCCTAAAAGTGAGAGGGCTGCTAAATGGACAAGGATTGCACAGAGCTTACTGCTCAGGAGAAAAGACAGGTAGGGAAAATTGTCTGGGTACACTCTGCCCAGCAGATTGGGAACTTCCATGATCTTCAGGCACTCCATTCCCATGGCTGGCTACAGAGCTCCAATGCCCCCCACAGTGATATGAAGCCTGCTGCACCTGCCTCCCAGCCAGCCCGTACCAAGCGCACAAACTGCAAACCCTTCCCTGGCTTCAGGAAAGCAAGAGGGAAGCCCTGTCTACAGCAGCTACAAACACAAAGCATAGAGGCTTACACCTGCATGCTCAGCCCACCGGTTCTTGTAGTAGAGAAGGCATAGCAGCTGGGAAGCAGTAAACAAATCTTTCCTCCCCTCAGGCACCAACACTGCTCCCCTGCGACCCCCAACAATGCTCCAGTGACTGAGCAGCTCCAGAGAGTAGAGCTTCTGGGCACTAGAGGGTGCCACATACAAATATGAAACATCAAAGGGAGCTGGTTCAAAGCAAAATCATAAATACACCAGACAAAGAGGCAAATGAAACCAACCTCATGTATCTTCCTCAAAGAGATTTCAAAATAAAAATCATAAACATGCTCATGGAGGTACAGAAAAACACTCAAGAACTCAGGTATGAATTCCAGTTAGAGATCCAATCATTATGGAACACAGTATCAGAAATATACCATGGAAGGTTTTAAAAGCAGATTAGATATGGTGGAGGAGACAATAAATGAAATAGAAATTAGAGAAGAGGAATACAAAGAAGCTGAGGCACAGAGAGAAAAAAGAATCATTAAGAATGAAAGAACACTGAGAGAACTGTGTGACCAATCCAAACGGAACAATATTCGTATTACCGGGGTACCAGAAGAAGAAGAGAGAGGAAAAAGGGATAAAAAGTTTTTGAGGAGGTTATTATTGAAAACTTCTCCAATCTGGGGAAGGAGATAGCCTCTCAGGCCAGGGAGGTGCACAGATCTCTCAATACAAGGGATGAAAGGAAGACTACACCAATACATATAATAATTAAAATGGCAAAGATCAAAGATAAGGACAGACTATTAAAGCCAGCCAGAGAGAGAAAAATGATCACATACAAAGGAAAACCCATCAGGCCATCATCAGACTGCTCAACAGAAACCTTACAGGCCAGAAGGGAGTGGCATGATATATTTAATGCAATGAAGCAGAAGGGGCTTGAATCAAGAATACTCTATTGGGAAAGATTATTATTTAAATTTGAAGGAGGGATTGAACAATTTCCATATAAGCAAAAGCTGAGAGAATTTACCTCCTACAAACAATCTCTACAGTGTATTTTGGAGGGACTGCTATAGATGGAAGTGTTTCTAAGGTTAAATAGCTGTCATCAGAGGTAATAAAAAGGGATAGACAAAGAGTATAGAATATGATACTTAATATATAAAGAATGGTGGAGGAAGAAAAGAAAGGGAAAAAAAGAACCTTTAGAATGTGTTTGTACTATCATACTAAGTGAGTTAAGTTAGACTCTAAGAAAGTAAGGAAGTTACCCTTGAACCTTGGGTAACCACAAATCTAAAACCTGCAATGGCAATGAGTACATACCTATCAATAATCACTCTTAATGTAAATGGTCTGAATGTACTAATCAAAAGACATAGAGTCACTGAATTGATAAAAAAAACAAGACCCAACTATATGCTGCCTACAACACACTCACTTCAAAGCCAAAGACATACACAGACTAAAAGTGAAGGGATGGATAAAGGTATTTCACGCAACTAATAGGGAGTAAAAGGCAGGTGTTGCAGAAAAAGGCACTTGTCACACAAAATAGACTTCAAAACAAAGAAAGTTACAAGAGAGAAAGAAGGACATTACATAATGATAAAGGGGTCAGTCCTACAAGAGGATATAACCATTATAAATATATATGCACCCAATGCAGGACTACTGACATATGTGAAACAAATACTAACAGAATTAAAGGAGGAGATAGAATGCAATGCAGTCATTCCAGGAGACTTCAACACATCACTCACTTCAAAGGACAGGTCAACCAGATAGAAAATAAGTAAGGAGACAGAGGCACTGAACAACACATTACAACAGATGGACCTAACAGACATCTATAGAACTCTACACCCAAAAGAAGCAGAATACGCATTCTTCTCAAGTGCACAGGGAACATTTTAGAGAATAGATCATATACTAGGCCAAAAAAAGAGCCTCAATAAATTAAAAAAGATTAAAATTGTACCAACCACCTTCTCAGACCACCAAGGTATGAAACTAGAAATAAATTACGCAAAAATACAAAAAAGCCCACAAACACATGGAGGCTTAACAACATACTCCTAAATAACCAATGGATCAATGACCAAAGAAAAACAGAGATCAAGCAATATATGAAGACAAATGACAACAGTAATTCAATACTGCAAAATCTGTGGGAGGCAGTGAAGGCTGTGCTAAGAGGGAAGTATATTGCAATAGAGGCCTACCTCAGGAAAGAAGAACAATCCCATATGAACAGTCTAAACTCACAATTAATGAAACTAGAAAAAGAAGAACAAATGAGGCTCAAAGTCTTTAGAAGAAGGAACATAGTAAAGATTAGAGCAGAAAAAAATAAAATTGAGAAGAATAAAACAATACTAAGAATCAATGAAAGCAGGAGCTGGTTCTTCAAGAAAATGAACAAAATAGATAAACCTCTAGCCAGATTTATCAAGAAAAAAATAGAGTCTGCACACATAAACAGAATAAAAAATGAGAAAGGAAAAATCAGAATGAGCACCACAGACATACAAGGAATTAGTAGAAAATACTATGAAAAATAATATGCTAAGAAACTGAATAACCTAGAAGAAATGGACAACTTTCTAGAAAAGTACAACTTTCCAAGGCTGACCCAGAAAGAAACAAAATCTGAACAGACCAACTACTAGCAATGAAACTGATTTGGTAATCAAAAACTACCTAAGAACAAAACACTGGACCAGATGGCTTTACTGCTGAATTTTATCAAACATTTAGTGAAGACCTAGTACCCATTCTCCTTAAAGTTTTCCAAAAGTAGAAGAGGAGGGAATACTTCAAAACTCATTCTATGAGGTCAGCATCACCCTTATACCAAAATCAGGCAAAGACACCACAAAAAAAGAAAAGAAATTACAGAGCAATATACCTAATGAACATAGATGCAAAAATACTTAGCAAAACATTAGCAACCCGAATTCAAAAATACATCAAAAAGATCATCCATCATGATCAAATAGAATTTATTGCAGGGAAGCAAGGATGGTACAATATTAGAAAATCCATTAACATCATCCACCACATCAAACAAAAAAGGACAAAAACCACATGATCATCTCCATAGATGCTGAAAAAGCAATCAACAAAATTCAACATCCATTCATGATAAATACTCTCAACAAAATGGGTATAAAGGGCAAGTACCTCAACATAATAAAGGTGATATATGACAAACCCACAGCCAACATCACAGTTAACAGTGAGAAGCTGAAAGCCTTTCCTTTAAGATTGGGCACAAGACATGCCCACTCTCACCACTTTTATTCAACACAGTTCTGGAGGTACTCACCATGGCAATTAGACAACACAAAGAAATAAAAGGCATCCAGATTGGTAAATAAGAAGATAAACTGTCCTTGTTTTCAGATGACATGATACTATACATAAAAAACCCTAAAGAATCCACTCCAAAACTATTAGATCTAGTACCTGAATTCAGCAAATTTGTGGGATACAAAATTAATACACAAAAATCTGTTGCATTCCTATACACTAACGATGAACTAGCAGAAAGATAAATCAAGAAAACAATTCCATTCACAATTGCATCAGAAAGAATAAAATACCTAGGAATAAACCTAACCAAGGAAGTGAAAGATCTATACTCTGAAAACTATAAGACACTCATGAGAGAAATTAAGGAAGATACCAATAAATGGAAACACATCCTGTGCTCATGGATAGCAAGAATTAATATTGTCAAAATGGCCATCCTGCCTAAAGCAGTCTACAGATTCAACACAATCCCTATCAAAACACTGATAGTGTTCTTCAACAAACTGGACCAAATAGTTGTAAAATTCATATGGAAGCACAAAAGACCTGAAATAGCCAAAGCAATCCTGAGAAGGAAGAATAAAGCTGGGGGGATTATGCTCCTCAATTTCAAGCTCTACTATAAAGCCACAGTAATCAAGACAATTTAGTACTGGCACAAGACCAGAACAATAGACCAATTGGACAGACTAGAGAGCCCAGATATAAACCCAACCATATATGGTCAATATGATAAAGAAGCCATGGGCATACAATGGGGAAATGACAGCCACTTCAACAACTGGTATTGGCAAAACTGGACAGCTACATGCAAGAGAATGAAACTGGATTATTGTCTAACTCCATACATAAAATTAACTCGATATGGATCAAAGACATGAATGTAAGTCATGGAACCATAAAACTCTTAGAAGACAACATAGGCAAAAATCTCTTGAACATAAACATGAGCAACCTTTTTCTGAATGCAAGGGAAACAAAAGCAAGAATGAACACACAGGACTACATCAAACTAAAAAGCTTCAGTACAGCACAGGACACCATCAGCAGAACAACAAAAAGGCATCCTACAATATGGGAGAATATATTTGTAAACAACATAGACGACAAGGGGTTAACATCCAAAATACATAAAGAACTCATGCACATCAACAGCCAAAAAGCAAATAACCAAATTAAAAAATGGGTGGAGGATATGAACAGATTTCTCCAAAGAAGAAATACAGATGGCCAACAGACACATGAAATGATGCTCCACATAACTAATTTTCAGGGAAATGCAAATTAAAACCACAATGAGATATTATCTCACGCTAGTTAGGATGGCCAGAATTGAAAAGACTAACAAAAACAAATGCTGGCGAGGATGTGGAGAAAGGG